GCTCCCATGGTTTAAGCCATCTCTGAAGCCCTGTGTCCTATACTTCTCAGGTCTCCATTTCTAAACTGGAGGTTATGATCGTGTTGTCTGTGACTGACTCAATACAAGGCAGAGCAGTTTTTGGCCAAGTTTTTTAAAAATTAATTTTATTGATACATTTTATATATGCATAATAATCACATTCATCATAGGGAATTTGTACCTGTACATGATATACCTTGATTCTTCTTCTATCCCCAAACCCCTCCTTTCACCCACTCTTACCTCTTTATTTACAAAAGTTTTGTTTCCATTTTTTCCTTCTATTACTTTTTTTTTTTCCATCTTGCCTTTCCTCTTTTCCTTCCCCACTCTCTTGGTCCCCTTCCCATTTTCATGTTTTTTTTTTTTTCCTGTTTCCCAATATCTGTTACACATTTTGATCCATATTTACCCTTTCACTCTTCTTTTGTTTTAGTGCCTTTCAAGCTAATAGAAGAAGCTGCCATTAAATGCTAATTACAGAATCTCTATTTATAGAAACAACCAGTTATTATGTAAAGAATGTATTAAAATCAGCAAATAATATATCTAATAGTGCTCTCCTGGTAGAAATGGCTAGAAATATATGAAAGCACATATTCAGTCACTTTATTTTTTGTTTGCAGCAATAAAGCTTGTTTTCAAGTAACTTTAGAGTTTTTCTTCAGTATCTAAGTTATTCCCTTTATTCACCAAACACTTGTAAATGCAAAATAGAAAGTGCACATCATTAATTTAAATTTTTATTTATTTATTTATTACAAGACCTCGCTATGCAGCTCAGACTCATTGTGATCCTTCTGACTCAGCCTCCCCAGCTCTAGGATTACAGGCGTGCACCACCATACCCTGTTGTGATGGCCTGTACTGCACACCCAGGTTCCAGGGCCAGCACGGGATGCAGAACCAGGGACCAAACCTGGGTCCTTACACTTGCCAGGCGGGTGCTTAGACCACCGACCTTCTCCCCAGCCCTCACATCATTAATTTTTATAATGAAACTACATACAACCTAACTTTTAATTTTACATGTTACATAAATAATTGGAAGTGCAGTGGAGGAAAAATTAACACTTGGATGACATCCTAGCTTACAAAATCATTTGCATATATTATCTTACAACCCACATATTTGTATGATAATCAGAAGAAATAGTTTCTTTATAAAGAAAAGAACTGAGACTAAGAAATGCTAAAAAAAAAATACTAATATTTGAATTCATAGTTCTGCCACCTACTGTAGGACCTCAAACAAGCCCCTTAATTTGTATAATTTTCTAAACTGTAAAACAGAATTTAAAATACCAGCTACTTCATAGGAAAAGTACGTGTGAAATGAGATCAGTTAATATATGCAAGGCACTTAGGCCAGTTCCTGGTTTGTAGTAAATAATCAGTAGTGTTAGTTATTAGTTGTTACACCACACAACTAATAATAAATGGTGGGACTTTTACCCAAATCCAAACCACTCACTCAGCCCAGAGCTCATTTCATAGTACAATACAATGTGGAATTTACTTTTTAGTACATCATTAATTTAATTTCCACTTCATATTGATCATGTCGTTCTAGATGGGATCTTTTTCAAATACTTTACTTTGACCTTAAATTTCTCAAGATCAGAAATAAAATGATTTTGAAGGCTTTTTCTTTCCTGATTTTTAAAATGCTGTAATTTTTATTGTCTGGGTTTACTTGAAATGTCAGGCATTTTATGTTAGGTAAGATAAAAGGTTGTGGGCGAGTGAGACAGCTCAGGGGACTAAGTGCCTGATTTGCCAAATGCATGGACCAGGGTTTGATCCCTGGTCCTGCATGCCACGCTGGCCCAGCCCCAGGGCATGCTGAGCCAGCAAACTCTGGGTGTGGTGTTGCACACCTGTAATCTCAGCGCTGGGGAGGCTGAAAACATGAGGTTCACTATGAGTCCAAGCTGCATAGTGAGACCCTTTACCAAATACCTAAATGGAAAAAAAAAAAAAAAATCAAGATATAAAGTTGTTTTTATCAGTGACTGTGGTGTTTCCAGTGAATTTTGCTTTGGTTGAAAGTGTCAGAGGTGGGAAATAGAGTTGATGGAAATTATTGATCTACACCCCAGAGGGATGTTTACTCACATGTACCAGTAGTGCTAATAGAATATTGTCAGAGAGAGTGGCAGCTTGCTAGACTTGAATAAAAATAATTTTTTTCTGACACTGTAATTAAATCCATTGACACTGTGCTCCTGGACTTCATCCTTGGCCCTTTTCATTTAGCTAATTACTTGATTTAAAGGAATAGACAAGATCTCACTAAGTGGCCCAAGGCTCAAACTAGGGATCTTCCTGCTTCAGCTTCCCCAGTGCTGGGATTATGGATGTGTTGCACCACACCCAGTTTAGATGACTGTCTTGATTTAGAATTTTTTTTTGTTGAGTCAGGTACTTGCTTTGTAGTTCAGGCTGGCTGTGAACTAACTTTGTAGCCCAGACTGGCCTCAAGCTGGCAGTGATCCTCCACCTCAGCCTCCTGAGTGCTAGGATTACAGACAAACATCTCTGCACCTGGAAATAATTGCATTTTTAAACCCACTTATCTGTATTACTGTCTTTAGCAAGTAGTGTTGATTTTCACACTTAAGTGAAAACACTGAATTTCTAATAGATTCCTTGGGACTTGGTGATAGTTTGATGCCATTTGCAAAAGAGAGAAAATAAAGAAATGACATATCTCTTCTACTTTTGCAGTTAGGTTTTATTTTATCTTATTTTATCGTCTAGGCACTTGCTGAATCCTTTAACTCATCTAGCCTGGGACAAAGCCCAGAAAACAACTCTGGGTCCTAACACTTGGAGGCTCTTTCTGCAGGTGGCCAGGCTCAGTGCTTTCTCCTGCGTTGGCTGTGCCTATGGTTTTGGCCGTGCTCTGGTGTGCTGGGCCACTGCTGTTCTTTTTCCTGCTGTACTTGCTTAAATGCTGTGTATAGTGGTTAAGGGTTGGAAGAAAGGGTAAAAAATAATCACTATTACCCTCTGCCACCGCCCTTATGTGATAGGATATTACCTTCCCAGGACTCTAGAAAACCTTGATTCTTAGCCATTAATAATATACTATACCTCTTTGCTTGACATGTGAGAATTTTCTGTGTATATTTATTGGGGGGTGGGGTCTCATTCTTCACCATTGTCATTATTCTGGTGCACAGTGCTCCAGAGGAGAACAATGTCAGTGATGATTTCCTCAGTCCAGAGCAGGGCTAGGAGCGGTAGTAACAACTGAGAAATTTAGTGAAGCCATCAGGGTTGTAAAGACATTGAATTAGCTGAGGTCTCAGGCTCAAAGTAGCTCATGCTGGGCCTTTGCTCAGCTGCCATGCATGAATGTTGGTGTCAAGCACATGACTGAGTTGGCGCCCTGAACATCTGTTGTTCTTTTCAAAGTCTTGCTGATTCTCCTAAGTTAGACTCTTTGCTTCTCAGAGCTTCTGTAACACTTTTCATCCCCATTTATCTCTCTCAGCTTTATCCTGAGTAATTAATTGTCCAAATAGCTGCCTATTCTGCCGCATTATTGACAGCCGGAACCACATCTCCTTCATTTTAGTGATTTCATAATGTGTAGATTGTGTTCCACTTGTAATAATTATTCTAAATCTTACAGAATTAAACTAGACAAAACTGGATGTGTCAGTAGAGTGACCATAGTTCACAATAATTAGTTATATGTTTTATTTTTGGTGCTGGGAATTAAACCCAGGGGCTCTGGAATGCTAGGCACATGATCTGTGACTAGGTTATGCCCTCAGCCCTAAATGTTTGATAAAGAACTAGAAGAGAGGAGTTTTAAGCTTTCCAACATTGAAACAATAAATGTTTAAGGAAGGAAAATGCTAATTACTAAGACTTGATATATTGTCATTATACTCTATAAATATATGCCATTATTATGCCAGATCAAGGTATATTGCATTGAAAAATGACTGACAGTGGAAATCTTAAAACTAATGTCAGTGTTTCTAGATTGTATTCTCTGCCAGAGCATATTCCCTAGAGAAACAGCAGTAACAGCAGCAACGATATATGAAAACACAACATCCTGTTGTTGGGTTTTTTTAAAGTTTTGCTGAGGTATTCACACATCATACAGTTCAATTTAATGTATATAGTTCAGTAGTTTTCGGTTTGAGAGTAACTATCTACAATAGTTTTAGAAAATTTTTATCATTCTGAAAAGAAGCCCTGTGCCTATTCCCTTCAATCCCCCAGTTGTATACAATTGATGTTTTTGTCTTGAATTGCCTATTCTGGGTGTATTTTCTACAGGGTCTATAGGGTCTCATTACATAGATCAGGCTTGTAGTGAGTCTCCTGTTTTCAGCCTCCCAAGTGCTGGGATTATAGCTGTGTGCCACCATGCCCAGTCTCAGTTGCCATCTCAGTGCATCCCAGCATCAGGGCCGGCACGGCACGCCAGGTATTAAAACCCAGCCGCTGCACTCTGACTAAGCAGATGCTTTAGCTGCTGAGCTATCAGGATGGCCCCCTGGGCATATTTTCTATGGCTTCTTTCACTTAATGCTCATCCTTGTTGTGCCATGTGTCAAGCCAATGGGTTGATGGAGTCTGGTGGGCAAGTGATGCCCATTGTGGCCAGAGCCCATGATGTGTCTGTTGCCCTCATTAAAGCATGATGAGACCCAGTCTGTGGAAATTGCACAGATGTGTTCTGCACTTGTTTCTACAACTAGTCTTGGAACCACAAGAGGTACGAATGTAGAACACAGCTAGCTCGGGTGGTAGAGCATGAGACACTGTGCAAGGTCATGCCTGCGAGCTCCTGAAGCCGTGGCTGGCACACAAGGGTCTGAAATCCTTTTGTCCCATTGGAACTTCTTAGATTTTAGTCATTTGTCAAAATGAAACAGGTAATTTTTTGACTGGCACCTTGAGCTAAATTTACTTATTTTTCCCCCACTTTTGTTTTTGTTTTCTCCAAGGCTATGCCTTTCTGCTATTCCAGGAGGAAAGCTCAGTACAAGCTTTGATAGATGCCTGCCTAGAAGAAGACGGGAAACTATACCTGTGTGTGTCAAGCCCGACCATCAAGGATAAACCGGTAAGTTATACGTAGTTACCTGGTGCTTTTCAGAGCATGTATGTAATTGGAATAGCTGATCTCCTCCTTATAATGGAAATGCTGGTAACCAGGATCCTCTTACCTGGGTTGACCTTGCTGTACAATAGAGCTGAGCTATTGTTGATAACAGAAAGCTAATAAGAAGTTACTCCATATTTTGTGTCATACTTTTGGGACTATGTGTAAACAAATGTGCCCTTACAAATCCTAATAAGCTAATTCCCATTGAGAAATAATGAATTGAGATAAATAATGCTCTTAGTGGTCTGTTATTATTTCAGATCAAGGACAGAAGTAATTTACTTTAAAAATGGTAATTGTCAATTTCTCTGTGTCTTTTAATGTAAGGCTTTGTGCTAGTGATACCCATAGCTATCTAAACAGAGCTTACACTATAAAATGGATAGTTTCTGCAGCGCAGGAGAGGGGACAGCCTGAGATATGGAGCAGAAATCATAAATGCACTTAAATCAGAACTTGTGGTTAAGGGTATGAGCCAGAGAATAAACCACTGGGTGAAGAAGATATCAGTGGACAAGATCATATTTTAAGGCAGAGGAAAAGCACTTGGATAACGTGGCAGCAGTAGAGATCCCTGGGGATTTGTCAGGGCTGAAAGTGGGATGGGGTAGTTTGTGTATCAAGGCTGGATGCTACAAGTAGGAAATAGAGTAAAACTAGTGATGTAGAGTGAGCAAGAGACTGAAACTGTTTCACATGGCTTGAATCAACACATAAACTTGTTTTAAATGCATGAGGTTTGCTTGACAGGTAGGTATAGTCCCAGAAATGTGTCTGGAAATGCTGGGTGTGGTGGCACATGCATGTAAGCACTTGGGAGGCTGAGTCAGAAGCATTGCTGTGAGCTCAAGGTCAGATGGGGCAACATAGTGAGTTCAAGGCCAGTCTAAGACACTGTCCCAAATAACAACAACAATAGTGTTTGGAAAAGGAGTTGGAGTTAGACATTGACTTCCCAACTTAAGTCTTGACTTATTTAAATATCATCTTGGCTCTGAATAAGTCATCTGATCCTTACTGAATTGTAATTCTCTCAACTAGAAAATGGGAAGAATAATGACTGATCTGTCTTGTTTAAATAAGAAGAAAATGAATGTGAAAGCATTTCATAGAGCTCAGGTACTTGTACAAGGATAACTCCGTATTATCTGTCTGACATAGTGCTGTAGGATTTGGGGGAGCAAGGTTAGAGCTCAGCACTTGGTGATATCGGTTAACAAGAACAGGGTTTGGAGCTGGTTGTGAACCATGATGTGGGACTTGAGCACCTATAAAGGAAGAGAATCAAGTGTGTAAAGCTGAAGAAGAAATTACTAAAGAATGGAGATATGGAGTCATGTTGAGTAATGAATGCAGAAAAAGACACCAAGACTTTAGCCCCCAGTGTGAAAGTGCTACTGTAATTTTCAAATTCTGGGACTAATGCTATATTTGATAACAGTAATGACAGTGTTAAGTAGGGGAGTTATACAGGTGAGTGAACAGTAGAAAATAGTAAGTGACAAAAAGAGTAGGGAACCTTTGCTAACTTTGGTCTTTAGTTAAACAGTGTGGAGGGGTTGCGTATCATAAGGGAGACAAGAGAACTGAATGGAATGAAGGTGTGAAGTACCTCAGGTGAATAAAGCATGAGGCTGAAATAACCTCTTTAAATCCCTTTGGAGTATTCTTTGGGGTAATGTGAGATCAGAAAATGTACCAAGCTGGGCTTAGTGGCAGACACCTATAATCCCAGAACAATTTTGAGTGCCGCCTGGGCAATTTAGCCAGACTCTGGATCAAAATTAAGAAATAATAGCAGGGTCTGGATGTGTAGCTCAGTGTGAAGGCCCTGGATTGTGGGAGTAAAAATGTCTACACCAAATTAGCCAGAATGAGATGTCTTAGAGCTGTAGTGGCAACCCTATGGCACTCTCGCCACAGTGGGCTATTTGTGTCACTGAAAGCTCTAGGTTTGCCATCACTGTCTTTGAGATAAGTGGTCAACCTGTAGAGAGCCCCTGGCACATCAGAGGGGACAGTAGAAAGAGGTAAGGTGGAATTGGCCATGCACTAGAGAGAGGATGTTAAATATATAGGAAAGAAGCTGTTGGAGACTACAGCTGGTGAGGACACAAAAGTTGAGCAGGCAGGGCTCGTGCCTTGGAAGGGACATGGCACTGTGTCTGCAGGGAAAGGAGGATAACATGCCTTAGAGGACAGTCCCACACCAGGATGGGATGTGTGTTGAGCAGGGATGGCTGCAGAGGTAGTTGGTGTGGATGTCTTTGCTGTGGAGTTCCTTCACTCTAGACACAACTGTTACCTTTGGCTTAAAGACTTTTAATAATAATTAACATAAATATCTATTTTAGAAATGTTTATGTGGTGATTTTCATTGTTCTATTTTAGAAATGTTTATGTGGTGATTTTCATTGTTCATGTTCCTACAAATGTTTGCTTTACTGCAGCTCACATTTTCTGAGTGTAAGTGAAATAGTTTTGTTGGAGTATGGTGCATTCTGAATGATAACTGCCAATTATGCATTTCTTTGACCCAGATATAGCCAGAATTTCCAGCATAAATACAGTAATTTTAATAAAAGTTAGGATAAGAAACATAAATGTCCCCAAACGTGTATAATTTTTATGAACTGGATCCCATTTGGCGATCCAGCTCTTTTGGTTTTCATGTCTTGAAAACTTTTTCTTGGCTTTACTGCCACATTGTGGTGCCACACCTCATTGGATCACGTTTCCCTACCAGGATCTCGGAGAAGGTGAGAGCTACATGAATGCTAGGAGTAGTCGAGGACTTTGGAAATACTATAATAAGACAGGTTCAACCTTTGGGCTCATTCACCAAGTGTTTTGCACTTTGGCTCAGCCTTGCCCCGCTGCATGCCTTAGTTAATCTTCATCCTGTACCTTTCAGTATCCTCATACCTCATTCTGTTGATTAGTCATTCTGACCCTTCTTGGATTTCTCCTTAGAAACACACTATGTTCCAAAATGACCTTAAAAATTTTCTCTCCTTTGTCCTTCTTAGCCTAAAAAATCAAACTCCTATTACCCTTGGGTGGATCAGGTTGATCAGTTTGTTTTCCTAATGCAGAGCCAGATAACAAAGTCCTTTCTAACCTACCTTATCTAGAATCATTTTTTTAAAACTCAAATGAATAGGTGTTACTGAAATGAAATTAATGCATATTAATAATAGGGAGATACTTTTCATCAGTGATTACCTTTCATTGGATTAAAGTATTCTAAGGTCAGGCGTGGTAGTGAAGTTAGCAGAAAGAGCTGTATTTGTAGCCGGATTATCTCCTCAGTCCCAAAAAATAAGACAAATTGGCAAGAATGGAACTGTTGTTGTTGTTATTGTTAAAAACAGGAACTATTGCATCTTCTAGATCAGCTTTTTCTTTCCTCCAGTGAGAGGACGTCCATAGCTCAGATGTCCCAAGCATTCTAGAAGGTGGCTTTGTCTCTGTGTTTCCAGTGAAGTAAGCACACGTTATATACGGTGGTCCCTCTCATCAACGTGAGTCTACTGTTTGAGTATATAAACAGATTGAACCTGGAGGTGGAAGACAGCAAGCCAGTAGAGTAAGGGGCTTATAGGAGCTTAGCAGAGATCAGAGCTGAAAAAGAGGAACCTTGAAAGAACATCAAGAAGATGTTAATGATTCTTACCTGCTAGAATGCCCAAAGATGTGGGGTAGGAAAAACCTAAAAAGGATTTGATTTTGCTTCTTCCTCATAATTTATAGAATAGTCATGATTCCTATGTATCTTAAAATATGATAGCTTGGTTTTACCATATATTTAAAAACCATATTATAAAATTGCAGTTTGTTTTTGTAGGTTAGTCAGGTGCTATAGTTATTCACTTAAAACTTGAAAAGTAGAATTGAAAAGAATGGTGAAAACAAGGAAGCTAGAAAGAGCCTGGCTAATTTTTTATGTCTTTTAATTCTGATCTTTGGCACTCTTAATCATTCCTTTTTAGTTATGAAAGTAGTCCAGATCCTTTTGCCTGGGAGCCTAGCTTCAATTTTTTCCACTCCTTCCTTTTTTCTGCTTTCCTTCTGGACCCTATATTTTAATAAAACTGAAATATTCCTACTCCCATCTCAAATTTTAATTCCTACCCTTATTTATTTTTCTGTATTTAGGACAGGGTCCACAGGGTCTCACTACATGGATCAGACCCATAGTGATTCTGTTTTTAGCCTCCCAAGTGCTGGGATTACAGGCTACACCACCATGGCCAGTCTCAATCACTGTCTCAGCTCACCAGGGGGGCAGGGGAGGGGCAGCATAGCACACTGGAGATGGAACCCCAACCACTGCGCTCTGCCTAAGCAGGTGCTTTAGTCAGCTGAGCTATCAGGCCGGCCCCCTACCCTTAAGACCCCTTTAAATATCATCTGTTTGGTTAATCCCTCATTGATTACTACACTTCATGGTACTTATTATAATAGCTATCTTTAACTTGACATAAATCCATCTTTTAAAAAATGTTGTACCTTCCTGCCCAGTGTGGTGATGCCTGCCTATAATTCCAGCACTCAAGAGGCTGAGGCAATAGGATCACTGCAAATTCAAGGCTGGCCTGGAATATATAGTGAGTTCAGGGGCTGGCGTGATAGCTCAGTGATCTAACTGCCTGTCTGGCAAGCATAAGGATTGGGTTCGATCCCTGGTACTGCATGCTGTGCTCGCCACTGAAACCAGATGTGGCACACCCTTGTAATTCCAGCACTCAGGAAGCAGAAACAGGAGGATCACTAAGAGTCTGAGCTGCATAGTGAAATCCTGTACCAAATTTAAAAAAAAAATTTTTTTAGTGAGTTCAAGGCCAGCCTGAGCTACATAGCAAGACCATGTAAAAAACAAACAAGATACTGGATACTGTGAATCAGAACTTCCTATAAACTGACATAAAAATCAACGTTCAAAAAGTTAATACCAT